AGATCGTCCTCACGCCCGGCTCGAAATATTGCGTGTCGCGACAGTGGCCGCTGCCACGAGATCAGGTCCAAGTCATTGACAAGTTATTCTAGAGTCGCGGCAAGGCGGGTCGCGTCCGTGAAAGTACTTCGCCAAATTCCAGTACGACGTTTTGTGTGACGAAACCCACGGATGATTGGCGTACGATTGGCTTACGTTCATACTTTCAACAAACTAAACGGCGCAACCATTCCAGCCTAGACTACGATTCCTCGGAAGGACATGGTACTCGACGCCATGTCGGGTAGCGAAGTGTACAGCGCCATCGACTTGACCGATGGATTCTATCAAATCCACATGAGGGAGAGCGACATACCCCTCACGGCGGTGAGTACTCCCAGCGAAACGCTCTCGGAGTGGCTTGTCATGCCAAATGGATTGAAGAATGCCTTAGCCACGTTCAATCGCGTGGTATCCAATGTGCTGCGCCTACTCCGTGATTTTGCTCCGAGTTACTTCGACGACATCTTTGTCCACAGTCGCGTTGAGAGCAATCTCAGCGCGCCCGAAGTCCACTTGAAGCATTTAAAGCAAGTCTTCTAAGTGATGCGTGAAAACAAGCTGTACGCGAATCTGAATAAGTGCATCTTTTGTGCGCCGGAGATTCCGGTGCTTAGCTGTTTCGTGAGCAAGGACAGCGTCCGAGCCGACCCCGAGAAACCTGCGCGTGGCCCACACCACAGAACCCCACTGAGTTGCGTCAGTGGCGGGGTCTGGCGAATTATCTTCACAAGTACACGAAGGACTACGCCGGACTGATCCAGCCGCTTGCCTCGCTGTTGAAGAAAGACGCGGTATGGTCGTGGACTCTAGTGCACCAAGGCACCTACGACTCAGTGAAGAAAAACCTGGCAGAGGCTCCTATCCGTGCTTCCGGATGACGCGAATCCTTTTCACATCGTGTGTGAAGCGAATAACTTCGCCATCGGCTGTGCACTGATGCAATTCGACGATGTAGATCGGGAATGAGTCGTGAGTTACCAATCCAGGCAGATGAAGCCGGCCGAGAGGAATTACCCGGTTCATGACAAGGAATTCCTCGCGATGAGATACGCTCTGATCACCTTCAGAGTGCTGTATTTACTAGGTGAAAAGACCTTCGCGGTTTATACCGATCACGCATCACTGAGAACAGCGATGAAGAGCCCGCATCTGTCCCACCGGATGGCCCGCCGGCTCTCGTTCTTCTCTGGATACAACTTCGTTGTCCACTACAAGTCTGGTAAGAACAATATTCTCGCCGACGCTTTGTCTCGGTGTCTAGACTACGACCCACGAGGTTCATTGGATCGACAAGTCATGCTGGATGATGACGATGTTGATGAATGCGCCATGTGTCAAGCCGCATCAATATTGGACCTGACGAGCGTCCCTCAGAAATACCGCTTCGCGACGAAATCTGAACTGCGTACAACCATGATCCGACGTACTCCAGTATTCCGGAGCTCTTCTGCTATCCCAGCGATGATACACGGAGAGATCTCTCGTGATCCATACTGACCCACATCGACAGTTACCGTCTTGAGGATGATTTACTGAGCTCTAGCATCGACAACTTCGATGCTTCTCGTATTGTGGCTCCAAACGACTCCGACCTG